TGTAGTTATGCTTTCAGATTAATCGTCCATTGCATTATCTAATAGAAAAAAAGATTGATTTTTAAGCTGATACCACTCGTCGTAACCAGTATCTGGGAGAGGGGGATATAACGGGTCAGAGGTATCCCCGTTACACTCCTCTTATTCTATTTATATATTGATTATATACATATATAGATATATATTTGTATGTTGCATTTGTATCTGCATTCATTATAAGGTTTCTCAAAATTTACCGAGGACTACTGTCGCACCGCGGTACAATTCACAAGGTAAATGAGAGAGAAAAAGACAGATGCACGCGATTGCATATCTGTACCGCTGCAGATATGCAATCGCGAAACAGAGACTGACTGAAGTAGACGTAAGTTAGGGGCTATCAAACTAGCAATGGGTTAATAAAGAAAAGGGGGAAACAAATCATTCCGCGCCACGCGCGATATTTTGGTACGAGATGTCCTAGCGAACGGTTGACTGAAAGCAGATCAGAACTAATGAAATCAGAACTAGCCGATTATCTAACTCTTGAGACGCGACATCACAGGCGTAAGCCTGCCAAGTTACTAACAGTCTTTGTAGCGATAATTATAGTAGAAGAGAGAAACACAGTGAACAATGGCTATTTACGTAATTATTACGTTTGTGACAGGGTTATAGCGATATTCGCTAGCCCTGTGTGCGGCACTCTCCTCGCAACAACGCAGTGAGCAAGTGTATGCTATATAGCGACTACATACTTGTGTCGTTGCAGGATCAGGAGAGAGGAGCGCAACGATCGGCGAAGTGTCGCCGTGAGTGCGAGTGAGAGCGAGAAGAGCGAGAGAGAGAGAGAGAGAGAGAGTGATTTTAGATGATTTTTGACGGCGAAGGACGTGGGAGCGCGGCGGTGCAAGGCTTAGAACATTAAGTGAGAACAAGGGCAGTTAGGCACGAGCTCTCAAGTAATTAGGGCGGCCTAGAAAAGGACTGTTCTGGACAAGATTCCGGCAGGAGAGCAACTATTGCCATCAGTGCGACAGCCCAGTTTGCTAGGAAAGAAGAAGAAGTTATTTGAAGCTGAGCCAGTTCACGCAGTAACCGTTCGCCGACCACGAAGCAAAGGCCATGCTGCGACCCTTCCTGCAGCAACCTCAATCGTCGCCAGGGCGCCGTTTCCTGCGGGTCTACGCTTTCGCCGGCGTCGTATCTCTACCGACGGACCGTCGGTGCCCGGTAGGTCCAAAGCCAATTTAAATTGTTATTGCATATTCCTATATTTATCCATTTGAATAACCGGCAAAGTTAAATTAAGAGTATCATATTTAAATACCTAAAAAAGGGCACAAAGTTGTGAGAAAGAAGAAATACAAAAATAGTTGCACTTTTGATAAATTACGATTAAAATTAACCTATTAATAGTAAAAATTCACATCTATCTCTCTCTCTCTCTCTCTCTTAATGTATTAATATTTTATATTAGATATTGGTCGAAATTTATGCTCCAAGTAACAGTTTTTTTTAATTGATAATAGTTGATTAAGAATAATAGTTAATATTTAATGGTAAAATTAAAAGAAATAATAATTTAATATTTTTACCATGAATACTTAATAAATTCTAAAAATATTCATTATAAATATAATTTTCAACTTACATCAATTAAATTAATTTTGTTAATAGATTTTATTAATTAATTTGGAAAGAGCTTTACGCGAAAATACAATAAATAAATTAGTAAAATAAAAAAAGAAAATAAGTTAAAATAGTACATTAAGAGCCATCTCTTGAGAAAATGGACCAAACTTAAAAGTTTCCGCCCTCAATTATCTGGAAAATTCACGTCCTCCGGTGAATTAGGAGGACTATTTTTAGTGGGAGAAACCCTCGACCAATCTAAATCTAACAAGAAGAAGCCTTAGGAGACCCAAGGAAAAGATTTTCCACCTCCAACAGTCTTCCAAGGGTATGAGCCATCCAAAGAAGATTTGAAGGACAGTCCCACGCCACCGTTAACCCCAGAAAGATATCCAGAAGCCAACAAGAAGAAAATCATAGTTAAATTCTGACCGTGTAAAGCTCTATTATATTTTTAAATGTGTTTGCGAAAATATATTTTCCTGAAAATAAAAAGTAAGTCCAATTTAAGTAATTCCTTAAACAAACCCTTTCTCTTTCCTAATTCCGAGTCGACTTTTCGAGGTAGAAAGATTTGACTCACTTGTTTATGTTATACGCAAGTCGCCTTACAGGCTCCGCTTGTCTAAACGCAGGTCGCCTTTCAGGCCTCACAGTATTCAAATAAAGTTGCCCGGTCTAGGCATGTAAAAGTGCAAACCAAAAAGAACTCAAATAAAATATAGTCGCAATTTATGTGACATAATATATATATATTTTGTGTTCCATTATTAAAAAATATAATTATTTCAAGTTAATAACAGGATGGTGTTAAAGGATGGAAGGTAGGGTGAAGTGGTGGTAAAGGAGGTTGGCGATGGGGAGACAAGAGACTAAATAACTATTTGATAAAAAAATAAAACATTAAAATAACGTCGAAAACAAATGAATTTGACCTACAAAAGTAGTCGGGTGGTGGTGGAGGCGATGAAGGGAGATGAAGAAGAATGGTCGAGCATTTTTTTCTTACATCTATATCGTATAAATAATAAGATATATATATATATATATATATAAGAAGATATATATATGTAAGGAATTTTATATATAAACTTATGATTATCATAAGAAAAGAAACTTAACTAAAACCATCTGATATTTTAACACATGTTCAACAGAACGGACTGTCGAAAAGATAGAATATAAATTACTGACTTCACTGTTTAAAAATTGAAAGGATAACTAAGAATTTGTCGTCTGAATATGTTAAGAGTCTTAATCATAATAACTATAGAGGAGCAGCTTCATGGCCTTTACCTGTCTTATAGTATATCTAAAATTATAGTGCTCGGATTTGCAATACTTCTGAATATAAATTTATAAATTTAATTCCATTGTCCATTAATATAATTCTTGCACTTACGAGGGTGGTCCGATAACTACTTAGCCTCACCGCCCGATGGCGCCACTCTCGCGAAAGAAATATTCTATCACGTAGTACAACCTTATCGATGGTTACGTTACTGTCAAGATTTCAGCCGGATCGGAGTTGTAGTTTATTTTTGAGAGCGTAATGAAAGCAAGTGTGTCCGTTGATTTTTGAAAAATGGAAAAAGAGCAGTATCGGTCGGTGATTCGATTCTTGTTTTTGGAAGGGAAATCGCGCAGCGAAATCAAAAAGCGCTTGGATGCTGTATACGGTGACTCTTCTTCTTCGATGGCGACCGTAAAAAATTGGTTTAACGAGTTTCAACGTGGTCGCACGTCGATTTTTGAAGAGCCACGTCCAGGTGCTCCGAAAACGGCTACCACGGAGGATAACGTGACAAAAATTCACGATCTCGTATTGGCAGATCGACGATTGAAGGTGCGCGAGATAGCTAAGATCGTAGGCATCTCAAAAGACTGCGTGGGTCATGTCCTGCATGAAATTTTGGGCATGAGAAAGCTGTCGGCGCGATGGGTGCCGCGTTTGCTCATTCCGGACAACGAGCGCAACCGTGAGACAACTTCAGAGCAATGTCTGACACTGTTTAAGCGCAATCCGAAGGAGTTTCTGCGTCGTTTCGTGACAGTCGACGAAACATGAATCTACTGGTATACACCGGAGACCAAGGAACAGTCGAAACAGTGGACTTTACCCGGCGAAAGTGCTCCGAAGAAGGCGAAGACTGCCCCATCGGCCGGAAAGGTGATGGCCACCGTTTTCTGGGATTCACAAGGTGTGATCTATATCGACTACCTGGAGAGGGGCAAAACGGTCACAAGGCTGTACTATGCCGAATTATTGGGCCGATTCGACGTCGAATTGAGGAAAAAACGGCCCCATTTGGCGAAGAAAAAAGTGCTCTTTCACCATGACAACGCACCGGCTCACACCTTCGCCGTCGACATGGCCAAATTGGTCGAATTAGGCTACGAACTGCTGCCCCATCCACCGTATTCTCCAGATTTAGCCCCGTGCGACTTCTTTTTGTTTTCAAACTTGAAAAAGTCACTCGCCGGACAGAAATTTGAGTCGAATGAAGAGGTAATCGCTGCCACGGAAGCCTACTTTTCAGACCTCGAGGAAACGTATTTTTTAGACGGGTTAAAGAAGTTGGGGCATCGCTGGGCCAAGTGTATCGAATTAAAAGGAGACTATGTTGAAAAATAAAACGCCACTTTTCCAAAATTTTCGTTTTTCTTTTGTAGACTAAGTACTTATCGGACCACCCTCGTATAATACATATATACACGAAACATTCGTGCCGCAAAAACTAATTCTTTGTGTAAAATTAGCTCCTTTAATGAGATAATTAGTCTAATATCATTATCTTCTTACGATGAGAAGTTATTTTTTAGATACATCTTCCCGATTAGCTAAAGCCGTGTGTGAGACATTATGTATATCATAAGCTCTATCGCAGAAATCAGTTGTCTACTCAGGTATAAACCACAGTTTCAGTATATTATACATGAGACGATGTCATGAATTATTAGATTACGTAAATATCTACATGATATTTACCACATCTTAGCTAACTATAAATAAAAATATAATATAACTCTCAGCATTTAATATATAGACATATTTCCATGCATATTTTATATTAGAGCTCTATTTCTTCTTGTAGTAAATCTAAGTAGTAACAGAATATAACAGAACTAAGTGAAAGATTTGATATTCCTTATTGTTTGTCCATAAATTTATAACAAATAAATGAGCGAGTATTAATTTTTTCATAAATTATTATAACATACATGATATTAGTCGAGAAAAATATATGGTACTTAGTACTTAGATGATTGGTTTTAATGGAATTTTCAAATAATGGGAATAGCGGTACAAATTATTCTCTGATTTGCTCATGATTCAATTGGCCAATTCTGCGTGGTAAGAAAACATCAAATTATTTGTGACTAACCTCGTCCTTGTCCAAGCCAAGCTATGAAAATTTTAAAACAAGATTAAAATCATTCATGCCTAGAATTATTTTTAAAAATATATTTGATATCATTAGTATATACGTAATCATTGAATAACGAATTCAATAGAATATGATTGATATGTTTAGCTTTAATGTTTTCATCTTCACATTTATTGCAAAATGGTAGATAAAAGATATTTTTATACTGGTTAGATTAGGGTTTGCATTTATTTATTAAATATACGAATAAACAGTTATCTTGAACAATTAATTGCTCCAATAGATATAAAAACTTTTGACGTAGTAGGGATCCAAATTAAAAAAAGTTCTAGCTTAAGAATCTCTAAGATCTAGAATTTTTTATAGAATAAAAGGTACTATATCGAAAAGTATCTTCTGTTACCATGGTAGAAGAAGAGCATTTCAATTCAATCCTCAAGTTTGCACATTTTATATAGATTATATAGATATGTTATATTATGGAGTATGGAGACACGGTAAAAAAATTAAATAATTACAACAGTTATTAATTTTGGAGTTCCATGTATAAAAACTGACATCATGTAAATAAAAACTTATGCGTTTTGAACTACACACAAAAAAATATCGATAACTGTTGACAAATTGAAGATTTTTCACAGTAGTAATAAAATAAAAGTAGTTAAATATCAAAATTTAGAACATTAAAAAAAAATTTCAACTTTAATGTGTATATTCTTCATCGTTATATGATGCAATTTGTAAAATTGTACTTTATCCATTCGGCATTCCCGTTGTGGCAGGTAATTTCGGGGGGTTTAAGCCACGCACACGAAATACTTCCGTTACAATGCCTGTTTAGACCGTTTTCCCGACTAGTGATAAGGACGCCAGACCTTATCACTGTTCCTTGATTACGGCGATCGTCAGGGATAAGGTCGAAAATCGGCGCGTAGGTTTATCTTCCCACTGTTCGACTGCGCAGAACGGGCAAGTGATGGCCCTACGTTAATAACTTTTTTATAGGCCGCTCCAACAACCAATGATTAGTTTATCGTTCTCTTCACGTCTTGAGAATGCCGGCAGCTCAGAAAGCAACTCCTCGTCTCCGGTCGAGGGTTCGATAGAGTTACCGTGTATTTCATCTAATGTTTGGGACTTGTTCGCGCTATTTGCACTCCAGCATGGACAGAAAAAAAACGGAGGGTGAACACGTGGCGAAGAGGTATCTCGGAGTGTTAATGGTCTGCTATATGACTGCAAGGGCCTTAGCGAAAGCGATCGAACTGAAGCGCGTGATGATTTATAGTACTTCTCGGATAGCACATGCCTAGTGTGATACATTTGTTTTTTCTTGTTGTTAAAAACCGATGTCCGTTCTCAGCACGTTTGGAGAAAATCCAGATTACTTTAGGATCGACGCGCAGTAATAAAAGAATGTGTCATATAAAAAACGGGGTCGACTGCTGGCCTCCCGGGCAGGTAGTCGACCTAGTCTGACCTCCTTCTCGATCGCCAAAGTATGATTGGCCCTGGATGATGGATCAAAGGAAAAGGAGGAGTCTCGCGCTTCTTTTTTTAAACGAAATTCGAAGATTGCGAGTTGATTTCCTTCTGGAATATTGAGGCTGTTTGTCCTCTCAGCGCGACCGAGTGTGTAGGTCTGGTTTCTCTCTCCTTGAGCGTTGGAGTCAGCTTCACGGGCAAGTGAGAATCTCTATCCGCTAGAGAAGGAGGCCAGGATAGCAACGCGAGCCCGGTGGCGTTGTGCGACAAGGGCTGACTGCGCCAGCGAAGGATGATGAAGACTTCCAAGGTGGTGCCCAAAATCTTTGTCTGCCCATCAGATCGGCAACTTAGGCGTTGCCGCAGTTCACGTGTACCCGAGACATCGGGGCTGCGGTGAGTCCGTGTGTGTATGTGTATGTGTAGGCAGCATCTTCTTCCTCATCATCCGATTAAGGAAACCAACGGGTAAATGAGCGTCATTTGAGTGGCCATTCAACGTGTACAAATACTGTACGGGCTCAGCGAGCCTCCGATAAGCTCTCGTGTGCTTGATTTCGTTTAGTAGCTCTCTGATAACTTAGTCATTTGTAAGTCTTGTATTTTATTTAGTCACTTAACTACCTTATTTTATTATTGTCCGTTTATACCCTTTGTTAAAGTAATACTTAAAGGGCTTTTCCCTACTTGTGACTGAGGTTTTTATTCCAACTAAATACTATTTATTTGTACTGAAATTATTTCTGTTCCTTAAAGCCACAATTATTTTTACACGCGAGTTATCATTTGAGTTGTACACACTTCTTTCTCATTCCCTCTAAGTTAAATTCAAATATATATAGAAAGATTTGAACAGAACTTATAAAGGAAAATTCTCGCTACACACCGTCTACGGTTGAAAATAAGAACAGCATGCAGGAAGGGAAAAGTCAACGAGGCATAAATAACAGATATCGGTTACACTTCACTTTCCTTTATTCTCTAGCTAAGGTCCATAGTCGGTCAGAACGGCAGATAATCAACGCGGTTCGATGCGATTTAATGTGCGGCGGCAACGGATCCACACATTCTGGCTAATCAAACCAGCGACAAATTATGCGCACAATCCCTGATTCTCGACGGCGAGTAGCACTTCACCTAGTTCGGATAGTTATACAAATCCTACATTTCTTTTACGCTCGAGTTAGTCAAGAAATAAAAATGACGATTAGTCAGCGCGATTCGGTCGAAACATTTTGTTCTCGACGTCGACGGAATCATGAATACGGAAAATCACGCGCAGCAACAACTAATTCTCACTAATAAGCGGTACTTTACCCTACTTACGTATTTCAAACCTGAAAATTCACTCAACTACTTCCAAATCACTCGATTTTCTCGGTTCGAACGGATCTGCTTGCAGCTGAGCTCACGATCAGTGGCAAAATGGATGAGCAAAATGAAAAATCTTCACGGTCAAATATCCTTGACTTCTCTTTCCGAGAAGAAATAATTTTTTTGGCTGATATGTTAATTCTGATATCGGTAGCGCCCTTCGAATATTCCCATCATTGGTCAATTTGCACTTTAAAAAAATAACAGCGCCCTCATTTTATCTCCTATCTCATCACTATTTTCTCTCTCTTACCCCCCCCCCCTCCCACTAAGTCGGTCAGCATTGATCAATGAGAAAAATCTTCCCCTACTCCTATTTATTTTTCGGTGCGGACAGAAATAAAATTTTATTCTAATTCGCTTATTGGTTATGACGTCACAGGCGAGTTTCGTCAAAGGTTCAAATTTCATCAGTCAATTATGTTGATTTCATTTAACAGACTACTTGTCGCTTATGAGTACGCCTAAGGAATTGTAGCGGTTGAGCAAATGTATTTCTAATTTTCCCTATATACGTTACACATTTTAAGTCGCATCCCTAGGTATTTTGTTCTATAATATAATAGTTGTAGATCGGTTTCATTTTCATAGGCCCTCATCATCGAGTTTGTGTTCAAATCAGTATTGCACTGAAATTCTAGTTCGTTCTCTTTCATATGATCTGTCTCACTCGCTTCCGCTTCGTCTGTCTCACTCGCTTTCGTCTAGTCTATCTCACTCGCTTCCGCTTAGTCGGTCTCGCTCGCTCCCGCTCAATCTGTTTCGCCCGCTCCCACTCAGTCTATCTCGGCGCCTTGAAATGACCGCCCCTGTTCCCGCGTTTAGACATCGTGCTCTGCTACCGGTCTCTGGAGCGTTGGTTGTATGTTGTCTGTGTGCATCCGGATGCTCGCCAGTGATCAGTAGCAGTGTGTGTGTGACACTCAGGATGTCGTCGATGGTGCGCAGCAGCCTGGTACAGCTGATTGCCGGCTTCATCTACGATTTCCTGATCACCCCAGGTGTGACAGCTTCCCCAAAGTGTCTGTGATAGTGCCTGAATATGTAACGTGTCCGCTGGTTTCGCTCACATGCATTATTGCTGCATTTTTCCGTCAATTTTCTCGTGTATTTTCCTCCGGCCGGCAACACATGGTCGGGAGTGCGTGTTTATTTCAATTATTTTCCACCATTTTATTTTCCGATCAACTAATATTATTTTATGGATTTTGTCTATAATTTAGAGGGTACTTTCTTCTATAGAACGTTTTGAACGACTTTAATTTTCTGTTGATCTCTGACCACTCTTAAATTCATTTACCTAATTATAAACAGTTATAAATACAGGGATGGATACGCCATAAACTGTATCTTACTCAGTTTTAATTTCTTTCGGTGTAAGGTTTTTTTTAAATGGCAATGTTTAATCCTAGCTTAGAAATAATTTTTTTCATTGTTCTGTGACGAGAGCAAGCGTTGCGCTTTTTCTCGTCGGAATTTTCCCGAATTCCCCCTCTCTCTCGGCAAGGCATGGTGACCAGCGTTGAGTGCATTTAAGAATGCGCCTAATGCATGGCCTTTGTTTCAGCCGATGGAGATTGCCGAGCGAGGCCGAGTCGGCTCGAAGCTGTTACGCTGACGATAGTATAGAGGTGTTAGAAAAAGGGAGAGAGATAGTTGGAGGCGTGCGTGCCTTACGCAAGGTTAAGCAGGCACGCGTCGTGAACCAATTAGCGCATTGGTCGCGCGCCGCCTAATTAGTAGGTCAAGTGGAGAGAGAAAAAGTACGACGAAGAAGCTGTAGATCGCGGAAGAGAAAAACGAGCGACACAGACGGTAGTAAGTCGAGCAATCAGTAAGAAAGTTCCCAGTCGATCAGACGGTCAGCGGTGCAAAGTCAAAGTGCAGCTGAGGATAAAGGACCAGCCGAACGCATACACCGCCAAAGGCCGAGGAGGATCGAAAAGACAGAGGACGACTGCCTTGTTCCGGCATCTGCTTGGAACGCTACTGGGAAAAGTCGGCAGGAGTTGCCCAGCGACGACCAGCAACATCGTGCGCAGGGCGCAGCCAGGCCTCCCGTTCCAGTATCAAGGTCAAGTTTCGCCAATTCATTTCTCTCTCTCTCTCTCTCTCTCTCTCTCTCTCTCTCTCTCTCTCTCTGGTAAGCATCACAGCAT